TGTCTCCGTGTTGATGGAAGCCCTCTAACATTACCGAGTTTTCTACACTTGCCCAGGTTGTTCAATATTAGGAAGTTCATAATGTAACGCTTGTGTCCCATCAGATTAAGCAGTAATTACATGAAATGAATACTTTAATTATGTAGACGCTTCTGATAAGTGCATATTTGCCCTTGGTGTAGTTTGTATTCCTGGATCCTGAGCACATTCTCCACAGATCATGAAACTGAAATCTACCCTAACCACTTCCTTTCTATTTTGGGGGAAGAGGGGTGGAATTTCACAAGGGAGTTGATTATACTGATAATGATGTGCATACTGCAGGCGGACTTTCCTGTGGGAATTTTCCTTACATGAACGGCCCCTGGAGTTATTGTCTGTAATGATAATGACTTCTTTCTCTTTCTGCTTCTTTACTGGTCCAGGTGCTCAGAATGAGGCCACAAAGCGAGTGTCCCGGTAGACTCCTCTGTACCGGACAAGACAAAGCTCTTGCAAAAATGTGTCATATCTCATGGTTTAATCACTATTTTATTCTTTAGCCTAACAGGTTGTTACTAACTTGACCTGTCTATTTTTTCTTTTAAGTGTAGAATTCAATAACACTCATTAAGAGAATAGCTTCATTTTGGTTTAACCAGCATCCAGCATATGAAACTCTCAGAAACATTATTTAGACTATACAGTTTTCTTGTAATGCCTTAGATCAGCCATTGCCACTGTTTACTATTCCAAACTCACAACCCAAAGTTTTAAGGGCATCTTTTTCTTTTATAGCGTATTTTAATTATTGTGAGCACTTTTAATTTTCTTCCTTTTATCTTTGTTTCTGAGTCAAGTTGCTTTTTGTCACAAAGCGTTTTCTTGACCAGAACTCAATTAAAGATAGGTGAACCCCAAAGTCACTACTATCCTTAAATAGAGGCAAAGTACAAATAATTTAATTGAATTTGTGCAGAGGGCAGAAAACTCTCAAGCTGGTGAGACCAGTGGATGAAGTGTGGAGGACCTTATTTTAATTTGTATTAAGAGGACACAGAAGGAAACAAAAGATGGATTTTAGGCAGAATCTTTTTTTGTTGTTTTAGTGATTAATTTATTCTCGTTTTTCATTTTATGTTAAACATAACCAGTATTTTTATACTGTAATGCCAGGACAAGATTTTTCAGTATCACATATTGCAAATATTCCTACCTTTTCTTTTATGGAAAGTGAAGTCATAAAATAATTGAGGTCAGATGAAAAAAAAAAAAAGCTGTGAAGTACATTAAACTTTCTGCAGACCTCTGCAATAAAAGTGTAAAGATGTAGATCAGAACAGAGAAAGGCCTCAATAAAATGACAGAAGTTAGAAACCTATCTAGACTCTATCTAGAGTTGATTGGCAAAACTGAGCAACCAAACAAGCAAGGCCTTGAACTGAGGTGATCAAGAAATTGCTCTAAAGGAGCCTCATAAGTTCTCTGAAAAGATGACAAAACCTGTAACAGAGTGGCTACAGCGAAGCAATGCTGAGTGAAATGCACAATGCCTCGTTTGGACTTTGACTAATGACTAATAAAGGACCAGATGTAGATGACTCAACCAGTAAAGCAGTGCAATATAGTAGACAAAATTATGTTTTCTTTCTTTTTATTATATTATCATACAAAGGAGGCCCTCATCCGTACAAAGAGAGCAAGCTGTCTTACCATGCTAGGGACCATTTTTTTACATTATGATATTATAGTAGCTTAGAACATCCAAACTGCAGAATTGATTGTGCTTTTTATGTTAAAGTGACAGCTACCACAGGTTCTTCTGTATGCTTGGAAAGGGATAGATTAGATAGGGGTGGTTCATTTGATTGGAATCTACACTCTCCCATTAAGATGCTACTACATCCTCCACAACTGGAATTAAAAATTCGGAGGGCACAGAAAATTATTCTCTGATCTGAAGAGTCAAAAACTAAACCAAGCACTATGTCAGTCAAAGAACCAGACATACCTGCTTGTAGCTGCACCACGACAGTCCAGGCAAAGCTGTTAATGTCCCTGTTGTCCTCCAGGTGCTGGTTCTCTTTTCTCTCTGTCTTTCTTCTCCTTTTCTGTCTACCGCTCCTTCTATTTAATAGGTGTGTATGAGCATAAAAACTCTGCTTAAGTCGCCTCAGAAGTGGGCATGGCCATTTAAACTCCATCTGATGCATCTGTCTCTCATTACCCTTATCTGCCGCATTTAAACCCACCTCTGCTTGTCATTTAACACCAGATTGCTGCACTACACTGTTGGGAGTGTTGCTCAGACCACCTTACTTGTGTTTGATTACGTAACTGCTAAAATCTCAACTTTACTCACTTCTTGCCTCAAGTATATTCTTGGAGTGTCAGCCAGTTTTGCCTAGAGGAAGCCAGCCCTAAACCAGTGAGCAAAGTGATCCGTTGGAGAGCAGACGCTCCAAATGATCATCTGAGAGTCAAGTTAAAAAGAGATTTGGATTTTGTCAGGAGCTTTGAAGTAAATAACCTGGGACAGGAAGTGTGTCTGATTTGTAAGTCTGACTGAGCTTTGGTTCGTTTGAGCTACAAGAACCTGAAAATTAAAAATCTGTCTGTGAATCTTTGCAGATTAATCCTGTGGAAGAGTCACTCTGACCCCTGAATGAAATATTTTTGAGCTTGTTTTTGAATGATTCTGTTTCTAAATAAATAAATAACAATTTCAGAGCATCTTCCTTGGATCTTTTGCTAACAAACAAACACAGAAACATGGTTTCAATAGCATCACCCTGTAGGCTTTCTTGTCAGCAGCAGGCACAGGGAGAATGATTAGACTTAAACAGAGAATGAATGCAGACAGAAATCCGTGGAAAAAAACCAAACTGCTCCAGCCTTAAAATCCACAACAGTAAACCAAACTGGCTACGAGACAACACACTGAACATTCCTGTGCAACCCAGACAAAACTCTGACTTTGCTGCAAACTAACAGAGCTGTGGACAGACCTGATTACAGCAGTTCACACATCTCCAACTGATAGGCTTGATAGGCTCTACCAAGATGTAGGGATTACTTGCTCAAATTTCTGAGTGCAAATCCTCCAGAGTGGTGGTGACAACCTTATTTTACATCACGAGACACATAAAGACCAATTTAATTTCACCTGTGCATAACTAGCAAAACTGTTGTCTTTTATTTCAGTGTAAATACATTTAACTGCATTTAACTTATGAGATATCTTTAAAAAAAAAAATGGTGCAGCTTCACTTGTAAGTTGCAGTTTTTGTACATTATAAAGCAATGTTGAAGTAGTAAATTAAAGGGGAACAATGTTAGCAGAGCTCTGTGGACCAACACTTTAAGAAATAAATACATAACACGGCAGTCTAGCAGCTCATTAACCAGATGTTGTCTATAATCTTTTTAAAAAAATCAGATTTTTTTTGTTAATTGGCAGAAAGCACCCCTTTTTAAAAAACTCCAGATTAAATATAAAAGACTAAACATTGTCATGTAAATGAAAAAAAAAAACAATAACAAAATAAAACAAAATAGAACTAAAAGCGAGTAAAAACAAATTGCAACTTTCCTGTTAATGATCTGAACACTAAAAAACAAACAAACAAACAAACAAAACAAAACCCCAGTCTATTAATTATTTATGATAGGCCATGGATGTTTGATTTGCCAATAAGAAGAAGCTAAAAACGACAAATACAGTCACAGTTCCCAAAACCATCCAGTGGGTCAGCGTGGCACTGCTGCATCCCAAGCAGGTGTGACATAAACATGTCCCATTGTGGGACGATTGTGTGCCATTTTTTTTAAGTGAAGACCCTCTCACCCACTTACCAAAAGCTCAGAGACCTGATACAAACTGATACAAACTGATACAAACTTGAAGTTTACTGTGTGATCTGCTCTGGATCATTGAAGGGAGGAGGCCACATTGCCCTGCTGACACTGCCTAAATGAAAAGCAGTACTGGACTTAAGTTCACCTGCTGACCAGAAACATGACCTCAAATAAAAAAATAAAAAAATAAATAATAAAAAATGCCAGCGTTGCTTGGTAACTGCTGGATGTTTAAACAGGTTCACAAGGTGAGGATTTGTATCGTTTGTTTCGGCAGCCTAAATATGCATATTATTATTATTATGGTTGGTTTTAACTAAGAAAATAGATGGAATAATAATGATTATGACTGATAATCACCCGCGTGATCCACGTGTTGACAGAGCCAGGCATGCGATAATATCACATAGCCAACTTGCACATTTCCTCTGATTCACTTTCCCATTATTGTTAAGGGCACTGCACACTGCAGAACAGAAGCACGCTGTCTTTTTGTTAGACCTGCTCCTAAAATGAGCCTTAAATGAGATGCTTGTGATCAGAAGGAAACAGTTGGAAATAATTTGATACAACGGGGGAGTGGTCTGAATCTCACTGTCCGTTATTGGCGTGGTAAAAACACAGACACACTTTGGAGTTCACTGCTGGGACGTCTGGCAGTTCTTTCATCCACAGTGCAAGCTGCGTGGCTCGGCGCTCTGCCCGATACCCTCTCTGTCCTCACTCCTCTGCTCACGCTCGCGTCTCCGCTCCTGAACAGGTAAGGGATCTGTCAAAGTTATTATGCCACTAAGCAGTGTGCGATCTTTGTGCTGTTACCTGTGTATCCCGCCTGCACGTTGACAAAATCCTCTGCCTTTCCTTTACCGTGCGTTTGCGCAGTTACCGTGTAACGGTAGGTGAGGAGAAGGTGTGCTTTGCTATATCCTCTTAAAATATTTTTTGTAAGGAAAGTTAACAGTTAACAGTGTGTTCCGTGGATCTCTGCGCATTCCAGTGCGGGTGCAGCTCACTGTTAAAATCAGAGCGATTTCAGAAGAACGCCGTGTGAAGGCGGCAGGTTCCCCGCTCCTCGTGGGCACCAAGATGCTCACGAGCAGTGGATGCATGCATGCAGGATTGGTGGCAGAGACAGAAGCAAAACGCGCTTTGCAAATTCCAACTATTTAGATCACCAGGTTCGAGCGCAAAATGCACCTGCCAGCGAGGTGTCAGATTGGAAACCGGGGCTTTCTCCGAGAAATACCGCTTTCCTCACTGAAAGCGACTGAATAGAGCCCAACTGTAGTAGTGGAAGTAATGCTTGAAAATGAGGTTTTTTTTTTGCAAACAACTTGTTAATGAATGCTCCCAAAGCCTACACTTACCGTGAAATAATGGTGCGCACCTATAGTCAGTATGCGCTCCTCCTGCAGTTCCCTCAGTTTGGAAGAGCTGTAACCAATATTTACCTCACCTCTGTCTTTAGACGTCTAAAGCCATTAATGCTGGCATTTGTGCTGTCATACAAGGATGTAGGAAAACCCCCCTCCCCAAGAAAAAACAAACACACACACACACACTCATACACACACTTATTCACCCCTCTCCTCCCCAGGAAGGGCACTAAAGCATAATAAAAATGCCATTAGCCATTTTCATTCAGATGCAGCCCTCCCAAATTGTATTCAGTGATCACACTCCTCTGTCACTTAGTCCAGTGAAAATGATGATTAATAAGCCACTTTGCAGCTTAATTTCTTAGCACTGACTTAATAAACCTGCCACGTTCCTGTAGCCCTACCGATTACTCTCAGGAGGGTCATCAGGAGAATACATATGGCCCCTTCATGTCCTCATCACCACATAATGACAGAGGCAGGCACAGTTTGGCCACCAGGCTGCCCTCATCCAAAACACTGAGGCAACACTGCAGTACATAAAAAAACAAAATTATTTTGCCCTGAGTACAGAGGTAGTCTGCATGAAATACAACTGGACATAAATGTCTAGATGCACGCTCCATCATCCAGGTAAGAAAATCCCAAAAAGTCTATTCTGTTCATCATCAGTCTCGACTGAAGAAGTCACTTCGATTAGAGACGAAATGTTTCTCCCACTGAAAAGGCTACGTCCAGCTGAACAGAATCAACTTTTTGGGAACTGAACATAAAGTTCAAACCTGCAAAAATATAAATGTATGCAATTTAGGGTCTAGGCAGCTCGAGGTATGTTTTTCTGTTGTTGTGGGAAATCCAAACATGATAATGAATCTTTTAACCTCCCATTAATGTACTCAAAAGGCATGAACACAATAATAAATAATGTGAAAATACGGGATTTAGAAAGTTTTAATAATGCGATTTTACATGAAGACTGATTAGAGATTGTTGCACACTGCATTTAAGTGGAGGAGAAAGGAAAGGCAAGTATCTTGTACACACTGTGGCGCTTCCTCACATTTCAAAGTATAAACCTTGTTTTTTGGGGGTTATCACCTCGTGTTGTCTGGGCTCTCTGGGTTTTTGCTCAACAGCAGCAGTATGAAGAGGTAGGCAGTGCTGGCTGAAGGCTAATCTTCACAGGGGTGATAGAGATAACAGTGATGTATGGAGCGGATGGGGTGGTTTAACACCCAGAGCTGACTGTTGTCTAGCAGGGTCAGGTCTGTGATACTGGAATACTGCTTCAGCTCCTCTCGTGCCTGGGATTTGGCAGTCTTAATAGCTGCAGGTGGATGCAAGCAGAGGCTGCTTCGGTATTCAGAGCCGGCAGATGCCTTGATGAATGCTATGTTGCTGCTCAGGCATCTGTCAGTCGCTTCTGCTCTCCAAGTCAACTGCTTCCTTGGCCACAAGCCAGACAAGCAGCCAGTGCATACTGTGACATGGTTATGTTGCGTTTTACTGTTGAATTTCACACTTAAAGGTGATGGCTTATTCCTAAAGGAGAAGCTACACCCTCAAACAACCACAACTCGACTGTTTTTTGAGTGTGAAGTAA